ACTGCCTTCAGGGCGAATGTCACTGTAGCTAGATCCCAGTAGGCCCTAAAGGCTGGAGGTTTCTTCAGGTTTCCATGGATTCCCGGCATTGTGGGTAGCTAAGCTCCAGCCTAGGCCAGGCCTAATTGTAACTTTTTAGTATTATTTTTCAGTGTGTCCTAATTTGGCAGCTCCTCAAGCTCCCGAGCCATTCAACTCTTATCCTCTGAGCCTCTGAGTCCTTTGTGTCTCTCCTGGAGGGGTCCTCCCGGGACTCTCAGTGCTGCAGGCTTGGCTGCTGCATTTCAGAGGGGGTTCTGCCGGTCCTCCACATGCAGTTGCGCAGAATGTGCCTGGCTCAGGGTTGAATGGGATCAGAAATCCAGCTGTGCCCTATTGGGTCAGGGCCTGCAGCCCAGGACTGGGCTGGGTCCCACCAGCATAAGCTTTTAGTGGTCTGGGCTGGGTCCCACCAGCATAAGCTTTTAGTGGTCTGGGCCACATCTTCTCAGCCCCTGGTGGAATCCCAGCTGCTGGACCGGGCATCAGCAGGGCCTCTGACATTACTCCGTGTCAAGGGGCTGCCCCTCTGCATGCTTTCCTGCTTCAGAGAAGCCCATGCAGGGCAACTGGGAAGTGCAGGGATGTGAACTCCTGAAGCCTCCTGACCCTGAGAAAGACAATTCTGAGGCACTCGCTGCAGTTCCCCAGGGGTTGCTGAGGGATGGAGCCCTAGTTCCCTGTGCTGGTCATCAGCTCCCTGATGCGTCTCTCACTGGCTTTCCCCATCACCCTTGCTTCCTGGCATCACGGCCCAGAGTACTACCTACCCCCAAGTCCTTGAACCTGGCTTTACTTGGGGGTACCCCAAACTAAGAACACTTCCTGGCAGAAGGTTCCCCTTTTTCTAATGTATACCAAGGCCATGGATGAGCTAGTGGTAGCCCTAGCCACCTGGCTGCTGAGACATTTGCACCTGTTTCTTGTGATGGAACCACCTAGTTCAGAAATGATACCCAAATGCCCTGGAACCTGTTCCTTGACTTTCATGCCAAAGACCAGGAAGGAGAATTTTCGTGCCCTGGATTATCTGTTTGAATTCTGTGAATCTCACACTCTGGGAGAAGACAGGAGCTGAGTGACAGGGACAGGAGGTGAAGACCTCAGCTGTGCTCCAAGGGGAGGAACAGAGCATGCGAGGAAGCCTGTGAGTTTTAGTAAAGAGGAACTGCAGGGAGGAGGAGGGCGGCACAGTCAACCTCTGTCTTTGTTTTCTTCATTCAGTTGGATAGAGAGTTACTGTCCCTGATTAGTGCACAAGTATCCAATAGTGCACAAGTGGAATAACCTCTAATAAGTCAAGTTAACTCTAATAAAGTGGATTTGAAAACTTTGGGACTCTTTGGCAAGTCAAGTGACCTTTTATTGGAGGATTATTTCCATTGCTCCATAATTAGAACTTGCTCAACCTGATTTCTAAATGTTTCTTGGGGATGTCCAGCATTTGGTCTCACCCCACTGGCTGTGTGAAGGGTCAGCATGTTCTGGGAATAGTTGCTGTCGTGTTTTTGGAGTCACAACTGTGCTTTAGAATTCATAACTGTATAATTTGAGTTTGGATGACTTTTTCTATACATGAGTTATCTTAGTTTTGCTTCCAGCTAACTCTGCTTTGATATCTTTCCCCATCCATTCGACGAGGCATGTGAGATTTTATTTTATGGCCTTTCACTACCTAGAGAAATTTAATGTTATTTACAACTTGAAAACATTCACTGTGTGCTTGTAATGAATCATTTACAAAATTAGAATTTTTCCTGGGTTTCTTCACTCATGGTCCTCTCCTTAGGCCTCTGCAGTGATTCAGAGATGTGCTCATTATCTCTACCCTCCTTTTCTTTTCTTTCTTTCTTTTTTTTTTTTTTTTTGAGAGAAGTCTCACTCTGTTGTCCAGGGCTGGAGTGCAGTGGTGTGACCATAGCTCACCACAGCCTTAAATTCCTGGGCTCAAGTGATCCTCCTGCCTCAGCCTCTCAAGTAGCTGGGACTACACCACCATGCCCAGCTAATTTTTAAATTTTTTTTTAGAGATGAGGGTCTTCCTATGTTGCCCAGGCTGGTCTCAAACTCCCAGCTTCAAGAGATCCTCCCTGCCTCAGCCTCTGTAGCTGCTGGAATTACAGGGATAGCCACTGCACACAGCTATCCCTGCCCCTTCCTGCCTTTAAAAAAAATTTTTTTTTCCAGAGATGGGGTTTCTTTCTCTGTGTTGCCCAGGCTGATCTGGAGTTCTTGGGCAAGCAATCTGTGCACCTCGGCTTCCCAAAGTGCTGGGATTACAGGTGTGAGCCACCATACTTATTCCTAGTAGAAGCTGGTTTTCTCTCCATGACAAACATGATGAAGGACTCCTTGCCATCTTACCATCTTTCTCTGCCAAGAATGGGCATAATACATGGGCCGTCATTGACTGCTAGCCAAGTCATTTCTCCTGTGGTTAGAGGGCATGCAGGTGGTGGTTTTATGGGGGAAAGGTGACAATAATGGCCCGATAAAGCAAGCCCTTGGGAACAATGATACAATCTCCTAATAGAAAGACTCATCTCTTGCCTCAGCCTCAGATTTGTGAGCAAGTGCATTTGAGAACTGTGAAGTTCTCAGAGTTGTTGGACTTCTATGAAAGCATTTTAATGGAAAACCTATGGAGTTTGAGTTTTTCCCGTATTAGACACAGTTTTGGGCCTTTTCACATGGTACACGGAGGTCAGCAAGGCATGCTGGTTTTCCAGATGGGGGTTGCGCAGGCTAGTAATGGCCCCCCAAAGAGGTCCAAGTCATAATCCCCAGAAACTGTGAATATGTTACCTTATATGGCAACAGAAACTCTGCAGATGTGATTAAATTAAGGATTTTGAGATGGGGAGATTATCCTGTGTGGCCCAGAGGGGCCCAATTGTAATTACAGAGGTCCTTATAAGAGCGAGGTAGGAAGTCAGAAGAAGGAGAAGGCCAGGTGGAGATGGAAGCAGAGAGTAGAGTGAGGTCACTAAGGGCCGAGGAATGCAACAGCCTCTAGAAACTGAAAAAGGCAAGAAAGCCAGCTCTCCCTGGGCCTCCAGAAGAAACACAATTCTATGATGCTTTGACGCTAGCTTTCTGATATCCAGACTGTAAGAGAATAAATTGATGCTGTTGTCAATGGCGACGTTTATGGTGATTTGTTACAGCAGCTACGGAAAGCTCATACAGCGGTCTTGGATTAAGAAAGGAGGGACAGGGTGATGAGCCTAAGAAGGGACAAAGGTGATGGTTTGTTTGTATTTGTGCTCTCCACAAAGGGCCCTTCAAGAACTATGACACAGATGTAACCTAGGATTTGAGCAGAAGAGAAAGTACTTGGGTTTAGGGCTAGGCTAGAGAGTAGAATTTCTAGCATGAACTCACAAGTGAGCTCAGGATGGACTGTTAAAAATACTTCAGAGCAGTATAGATACTACCAGGTCAGATCTGTGCAATAGAACATTCCACAAAGATGGGAATGTTCTGTGTCTATACCATCAAATACAGTAGCCACCAGGCATGTGTGGCTATTAGGAGCTTGAAATATGTCTGGTAGGACTGGTGCACTGAATTTTTAATTTAACTTAAATGTAAATTCTTTCAATAGCCACGTATGACTTGTGGCTGTCATATTGGACACTGCAATTCCAGATCAGCACTGGCTAAGAGAAATATAATGTGAACCATATATGCAACATACAATTTTCTAGTAACTACACACAAAAAAGGAAAAAGAAATAAGTGAAATTAATTTAGTAATATATTTTGTTTAACCCACTTATTAAAAATATTACCATTTCAGCATGGAACCAATATAAAGAGTCTTAATGAGATATTTACATTATTTTTTTCATACTTTGTATCAAGTCTTCAAAATCCGGTGTGTATTCTGTACATTTCACTTTGGACTGGCCATGCTCCTAGTACTTAATGGCTGCAGGGGCCAGTAGCCACTGTCTGGACGGTGCCGACTATTTAGTCATCGATGAGGAAGCGGGGCCTAGCCAGGAAAATGACTTGCTTTCAGCAGCATTCCTTCTGCAAAGCCTGTTTTTCTGCTGTCCAGGTTCCCCCTCTGAGAGATACATAACTTCCAGCAGCAAAGCAAAAAGAATTTAAGTATTTTTGTCCCACCTACCAACCAATTCCTAAATTTTGTGGATAAACACTTTATACAACATTCAAAATACAACTTATAAATTGGTGGGCTGATTAGATTCCTGAAATGGAAATGAAGTAGATGATGATGGAAGCAAAGAGAAGAAATTGACTTGATCCTCCGAAACCTGGGCAACCCTGGGAATGAGTAATGCGACTGGAAAGCTAAGCAAACAGACATCACAGAGGGCTGCGTTTCTCACACTGGGGTGGGCGTCCCGGCTCATGCACATCAGGGCTCTCAGGATGTCTAGTTTCTTAAAATGCAAATACCAGCGGCTCTGGGATCTGATTGTGTGATATGGGAGAGCCATGAGTTGGCCTTCTTAATTAGCTTCCTAAACGGTTATTACATCAAAGTATGTCACTGAGCTGGATTTATGAAATTCCATAACGGTCAAGGATTTGTAAAGAAGCTTGTCTTAGAAAATTAAAAGTGTTTCTGGTCCTAGGTCATCCTTAGTCATAGTACGCTGGGCTCAAGGAACAGAAAGAACTGACTGATGTCAAAGTACAGTTGCAGTACGGTTGGCTCCTTTACAAACGTGCTTGAGTTTGAGGATGGGGAGAAAGCACCCAGGGCTCTAGAATTCCCTAAAAACCAATATGCTTCCTTTCATTTCAGTTAGCAGGAAAAAGTGCTCTTTTGCTTAGTCATTACTGGTGCCCTCTGTAGAGTAGCTACTGCTTTTAGTTCTGTTTTTTTTGTTTGTTTGTTTGTTTGTTTTTGCAGTTTGAGGGTAGGAGTTCTGCTAATACAATAAGTAAACCATTGTTTTTGTATGAATTTGTATGTATGATTCTGTATGAATTTGCTGCAGCAGCAGCTGCCTGGTAATCACAAGCAGGAAATCTACCATTGAAGTCTGGAGACAAGGAATAATACATGAAAAGAAGAAAGGAAGAAGGGGAGATGATGGTGCTTCAAATTTCCAATTCCATGAGAGATGCAAATGACGCTGTCTCCCTACAGGGACAAGAGGGCCAGGGAAACTTCCCCTTGTTCAGCCATCAGAAAATATGCAGGCTTGGACCAAAGGCATCTTCTTGCTACCTGTAAGGAAAAAGGTCTTAAACTTCTAAGCCTCAATGACTCCACTGCCTCTTCATGCGCCTTGTTAAAATGCAGACTTCCAATCTGAGATGGATGATGACTTGAGGGGCTCAGAGCCCTTGCTGGAGAAATCTGTCATCAGCTGCACTAAGTTGCTGCCATGGATCACTTATTGAATGCTTGCTGTGTGCAGAACACCATTCTATGGGCTTTCTGTGTATTATCCCATGTTATCCTTATGACTGTCCCATGAGGTCACTTGTATTTTCTCTATTGTGCAGATGAGGAAACTGAGGCTCAGGGAGATTAAGTTATTTGTCTGAGGTCACATAAATGGTAGGTGGCAGTGAAGATTTAGCTCTGTGTAGGTCTGCCTTCAAATCTTGTGTGTAACCACCAGGCTAGTGGTTCTCAAAGTGTGGTCCCTGGGCCAGCATCATCAGCCTCACCTGGGGACATGTAAGAAATGCAGATTCTCAGACTCCTCGCCTGATGTGTGGAACTGGAAACCCTGGGGCTGGGTCTAGCAACCGTGGTTGAAGTTGGGCTCCAGGTGATGCCGATGCCTGCTCAAGGTTGAGAACCACTGAACTGGGCTAAGGTCCCTGCTCTCTGGCAGCAGTGCTGCAGTCTGATGAGTCAGGGGACAGGAAATGCTTCCAGAATAATATTGGTTTTGATAACATGCTGCCTGCAGCTGCAAAATGACAGTGGGGATAATAATGGCAGGAGAAATAGTGCAATTTTTCAGGTCACAGAAAGTCAGCACTCCTTCCACGGGTCTATAGATCCATCCACGAGAAGAGGAGCCAAGACACATGAGTTCCCATCTCAGCCACTTTGTCACTGGGGATACTGGCAGCGGTTGAAGGACAGCACCAGAAGCTAGGGCTGGGGGAGGTTGGGAAGGAAGTGTGGGGATGGAAAGCCTGCAGCTTCTGAAGGAGCAGGAAGTCTAAAATGGCCCAGAAATCAAAGGTAAGCAAACAAGTATAACATAGGCGATACCCTAGAAAACATGTATGATAGACAGTAGTCCCCCTTATCTGCAGTTTAACTTTCTGCAGTTTCAGTTGCCTGTGGTCAATTGTGGCCTAAAAATATTAAGGCATTTTGAGAGAGAGAGAGAAAGAGAGAAAGAGGCACCATACTCACATATTTATTACAGTAAATTATTATAATTGTTTTATTAGTTGTTATTGTCAATTTCTAACTATGGCTCATTTATAAATTGAATTTTATCATAGGTATATGTATGTATGGGGAAAATAGTAAATATAGGATTTGGTATTATTCATGGCTTGGAGGTCTTGCACTTACTCATGCACTGGGGGTCTTGGAACATGTCCCTATTAGGTAAGAGGGGACTACTGTATTTTAAAATTTAGACTTCTGTTAAGCTGCTTATTCCCCTTCTGTTATAGCCTAAATCAATGCCTGAATTCCTGGGGCTTGCATTTGTTAATGTATGTGCAGTGAACATGAAACAGCTGAATCATGAAGCCCATGGTAGTGGGGCCATGGCTGGGGGCATGCTTTACAGAGGTTGTCAGCTCATCGGCATAGATTAATTTCTTCATGGTAGCACCTGCTGGGAAGGTGGTTCAGCCCTGTCTTCTACTCCAGCCGTGCAGGGGGTAAGGCATTTTGCAGAAAGCATTTGTGGATTTTTTCCAAATCTAGGCAGTAAACAGATTGCATTCCCAGCACTCCCCCCAAATTCCCTTCATTTCCTAGATCTGTGGAAAGGAGCACATTGAAACAGAAATAGAGGAGGTCATAGAAATCTAACTGATGGAAACTGACTGCTGATCTAGATATTATTGTTAAGACAGAATTTTGAATTGATACAGACAGTGAGATTGAGAAGGCTCTGCAATGAATGATGCTGGGAGGATCACCGGGTCCAAGTGTTCAGCAGGAACCAGGACCAGAAGAGAAACATTTAATTAGGGAAGGTAATGAAAAGGAAGGGAGGATGGGCAGCCACGAGCACTCACTCTGGTTACACCTTTGACTTAGTTGTATATGTAAAATCAGTGAGTATTATAATAGAATCTCTTAGCTCTGTCAGAAAAATATCTGCCTTATGGGCAATATTATGCCAGACTTTAAATACAGTTCTCAGGGGATCTACTCTGTTTTATATTGAAATTCATCTAATTATAATGTGTTTCTCACTTTGGTCAAACAGTAGGAAAGCTCAGATTTACACAAAAGATAAACCAAGAACCAGTTATTTTCTCAACTAGAGGATTCTTCAGATTGCAAAAGATGTCATCATAATATTTCCTTTAATTGCAAGCTTTAAATATTAATGCATTTAAAATCAAGTTTAAACCTGATTATTTTCTCTAGCTTGCATATTGCACACAGGGAGGTACGTTTATCTGTTGAATGTGTTTCATAATGGATTTTGCTCATACTGAGAAGTGGCCTGTGCAGGCATGGATGCACTATGAATCAGCAGTTTTTGTGGTCACCGTTGTCTTCTGTACCTCTCTGGGATCCTAACATGAATAAGGCATCATTAAGTCCTCTCAGCTTTTCATTGGTTAGACTACATCAGTCACAGCTTTCAAGGTCTCAAAGAAGATTCCTTGACCTACAGATACTCTCGTTTATAATCATACACACCCAGTGTATACACACATGCACACACACACACACAATTTGTTTATCTAACTCACCTAAGCCTTTATTTTAATTTCAGCTGATTTTGGCAGTAGGTTGTGTACAATTGATATCTGCAAGTCAATCTGTGAATCAATACACAAATTATTTTTGAAAGTATTTTGAAAGAGTATTACTCACTTGGTGCTATGGAACCAAGGCCACTTTGCCTGGGTTGACTTACCCTGGTCAGAGCTCACAGAGGTTTGGCCAGAACCAGGTTTGACAGTTGACATGTCTCTTATTATCAAGTGTGAAAATCATGTGTTCCCTGGACACATTGGGGCGAACAACACACACTGGGGTGTGTTGGAGGGTGGGGGATGGGAGGAGGGAAAGCATCAGGAAAAACAGCTAATAGATGTTGGGCTTAATACCCAGGCGTTATCATGGGATGATCTGTGCAGTTATTCACTACGGCACATGTTTAACTATGTACCAAACCTGCACATCCTGCACATGTACCCCTGAACTTAAAATAGAAGTTGGAAATAATATAAAACAACTTTTAAAAAGAAAGAAAATCATGTGTTCATTCTATTTACCTTATGGTTTTAATCCGAGTCTTTACCCAAATCTCCAGGTTCACTTCCAGTTGAGAACCTCACATCTCCGTAGCCCTACACAATATATTCTTGACGGTCCAAACATGAGCCACCTTTAGGTCATTTCTCCCCACTTTTTATTTGGGTGGAGCTTGTGGAGCAAGCATGAAATGTTGCTTCTACTTCCCAGGGTGATACCTGAGTTTCAGGTGCCACAGTACCTCTTACAATAAAATTTTGGCTCTATTTAATGTATCATTTTATTCTCATCTTCCTGATGTGGGATATTCTAGGAAACTGCTTGAACGAAATGAACCTCATTGAGAGTGGACATCAAGATGTGTTGAACGCTTGATAAATCAGAGACTGAAAGAGACTGGAGGGAACTTGACTCGATTCCAAGTTAGACAGGGCTGTGGCTGTCTCATGTGTGGTGCTGGTGAGTGCTGACAAGCCCAGACTTTGGGAAAAGTCCTTATGTCAGAAAATTGTGGGCTAGGGTGACAGATCACACTTTGATGGTTGTCAGGTTCCCTTGAAGGGAGTAGACATTCCTAAGATTATGTATTCTGGGTGGAAGTCAAGCCAGTGGCAGAAAATAAAAATTTCAGAGGCTGACCTTAGATCAAAGGAAGAAAACAAAACAGAACAGAACAGCATAGCCGTGAAAGACTTGTTCAGTTACTGGTCAGGAAATTCTGGGATCCTGAGCAGGTTAGCAGTGTGCGATGTTATGGACTGGCTGCTCCTCTGGCTCTACAGTGAGCCAGTTTGAATCTGAATCCTCACCTCTGGCCTGTTTCTATGACAGACCTACCAGAGTTTATCAATCAGCCCTGCAGTTTTCACAAAATGCTCCTACCTTCTGCCTCAAGGTCCCTCAGGTAGGGGAGGAAGCCCAGGGACTCTGTGCTGTGATTCCTAACGCATCAGACACGTTGCATATCTTATTTAGTCTCCGCTGTCACCCAATCATGAATTATGGCCACTCTCTTTTGATAGATGTAGTAATTGAGAAACACAGAAATGAAATGGCCCTCCAGACTGTCCCTGGCAGCTGTGGGGAGGGAAGGAGACCACCAGGCCCACTCTCTGGCTTTTTCCTAAGGTGCCCTTCCTCCTGCCAGTTGCCACTCTGTCCAGTCTTTCTGTTAAGTCCCCTTTGCCCCAAATCTAATTTGTTGGCACAGGCCTTATAAAGCAGAGTCAAAGCACAGGTGCAGCATTATCCTTCGTGTCCTGGATCTGAATTTATGCTGCAGCTCAGGTCAAGTGTCCACCGAGTGACAGCCCAAGCGAACCTGTGCTCAGTAACTCTGGCGAAGAGCCCTGGATTCTGACTTAGCTTCTAGCAGTGGTTCACAAAATTTAGTATGCCGCAGAACTACTTAGAGCAGGATCGATTGGTCAAAAGAAGAAGAATATTTCACCACATGTAAGAATTAAATGAAATTTAAATTTCAGTGTCCATAAATAAGTTAAACAAAGCCAAATCAATCATAAAATACATGCAGCAGATATAGACATACCTCACTTCATGTAATCTGGGCACACAGCCATGTCCACTCATTTTCATATTATCTCTGCAAGGGCAGAGTTGAGCGATTGCCACAGGGACCATATGGTCTGTAAAACCTAAAATGTTTACTATTCTTCCCTTTCCAGAAAAACGTTCACCAACACGTGGCCCAAAGGGCTTGTTAAAATACAGGTCACTAAGCCCCAACCCCAGAGCTTCTGATTCAGTAAGTCTGGGTAGGGACCAAAAATTTGCCATTTCTAATAATTTCCTAGATGATGCTGATGCTGCTGGTCTGAGGACCACACTTTGAGAACCACTGCCTTATAATAATGGCTGCTTATGCCCAAAGAAGATCCTTTGGTTTCTATAATTTTGTTATGCCCTTCCTTTAAATCGAAAAAGACTGTCTTAGTGGAGGGCTGAAAGGAATTTACTTCTTCTCTAGCAAAGCTTTCTTTATGTTTATGGAAAATACACAGCAGAAGGGTTTGGAGCTGGACAGAAACCCAGTTCCACCGCCTGCTGGCTTTGTGACCTTGGGTAAGTTAGACTCAAGTTCCTCATCTGTTAAGATGAGGGTGTATATAGGAAAAAACAGTTTTTCCTCCTATATTCTCAACACAGAGCACTTCTGGTCACCAGCTGGCTTGGCTCTTACTCCTAGAGATTCTGATTTCATTGGTCTGGGGTATGGCCTGGATGTTGGGATCTTCAAAACTATAAAGGGAGATAATAATGTAGCACTGTCCAATAAAAATATAAAGAGAGTCACACGTATAATTTTATGTTTTCTAGGAGCCACATTTTGAAAGGTGAAATTAATTTTAATATAATATTAATATCTTATCATTGACAAATAATTAAAATAATATATTAATGATAAATTCTACTTAACTCAGTATATTCCAAACACTAACATTTCAACATACAACCATGGAACAATGACAGAGATATTTTACATTCTTTTTCTCAGACTAAAGCTTTGAAACTGAGTCTGTACTTTACACTTATAGCACATCTCTAATCAGACTGGCTATATTTCAGGGTTCAGTAGTGACCTGTGGCTTGTGGTCATTGCTTCAGAAAGCGCAGGAGTAGTTAATGTGCAACCAAGATGGAGACCCACTGGGGTAAGGGCACGCTTGGTGTTCGCAGACCAGACCAAAGCTCCCGGACCACACAGGGGTTCTATCGGCATTATTCTTCTTGAGGATTGAGGGAGTTGACTGCAGCTTCCCTCCTTTGGGCTAGGAATTAGGTGTGGTCATTAAGGACATTCAGTGAAGCTCAATTTTGTCTTAAAATTGGATGTGCAGCTATGGAACGTGTTTGAAAGCATGGCGATCAACTAAAGCAAATAAATCTAAATGACTTGATGCTATCAGAGAAGACAGAAGGACCAGTGCAGCATTAACAGAGCAGGAAGTAAAACCATGGCCAATTTTGTCTCCTTCTCAGTGAGCCCACAGCCTGAGTAAACGGGGCTGTGGGAATCCCAGGCAAGAGGATGGCTGCTAGATCATCCCTTGATATTCTACGCAACTCTTTGATTCAGAACTTTCTATTCAAGTCCAAATATCACTGGATATTACATAGGCTGTCATTCTCTTTGAAAACTCTTAGGTTTATTCCTAGGGGAACAGAATTTATTCTCTCTATTCTTATAATGATAAACTAATATTTAAAAGAATAACCTTGCAAATTTATCATAAAAGCAAGCAAGATTTCTGAAAAAGACAAAAATAAAGATCTGCAGAGGTAAGCGCTCTTAGCACTGAAGTGTGTACTCGTTCAGAGTATTTTTTTGGTGTATACACTTACACACATTTTATACAATAGGATTCAACAGTGAATACACTTTTATAGCATGCTTCTTTGTCACATAATATTCTTACAAGTATATTTTCATGTAATTTAGTAATCTACAGCATCATTTTAAAATCACAGCCATTGTACCATTGTTTGGCTGAATAACGACCTACTTAGTCAATGCCCTATCATTGGCCATATACGCTATTTCCCCCACATTGTCAATCATAGCGTAAGTAATCATACTGAAAGAGCATCAGCTCGTCTTTGAATCCAATGTGATGCGTGCCTTAAAGCTAGCTGAGGACAAGGCAGAGGGAAAGGAGGCAACACTTCCGTCTCACTAAGTCTGACCCATTTTGTAGTTTTATCCAGCTTGGAGAAAAGCCAGCGAGATGCAGTTTGCAGATAGTAGTGCTGTGACAATGATACCAGACAGCTCAACTGCGAGTGACACCACAATGTGCCGCCCACAGTGGACATTAGGTTTTCTCACCGCTCTGCTAAGAAGGACCTGCAAGCCCCACAGCAAGCCTTAATGTGTCAACAGCAGCTTGTGCTTGGATTTGGATTGACTTTAGTTCTTCCTGGTGCCATTTTTCCCCTTCTGGTCTTAGTATTAACCACTTCTTTGGAACAGAATCATTCCTGCAGTAGGTTTGTGGGTGGGTTAAAAAAATTTAATAATCCAAAAAACCTCTGACTTTAAGATTTTAGTTTCTCTGCCTTATGTAGTTTATATAATTATTTGTTCATGCAGCATTTATATATTACTTTTCTGATCATTTTATACTATATGATATTTTACACTATATGAGGTTTTCTGGCAATTTCCCCAGTGCCAGTTTCTCAGTTTGCCTATGCAGTCATCACTCCCGTTGCAATAAAGCAAATAAATAGCTGCAGAGCTGCCCAGCATTCAAATAAGGCAAACGCCAGCCTTTTGAGCTGCTAAACTGAATTGAACACCTCAAATTGATTTAGGGAACCATCTCTCTTCTCTTTAATCAATCCTATTAAAACCATACACAGGGAAAAATAGCAAGGTTTTCTTATACTTGGAGGACCAGGAAAATGTACTCTCTGCTAGGGTTTGATGCATGTTATGTCTTTATGTCATGCACAAGCAGTCTTAAGTAGTCATTTTAAAGGTGAACTGGTAAAGTTGTGTTCAATCCATCATATGCTCACATGCAAATACAACAAAACAAGTATCTATTGTGTCTTTACTTTGTGCCAGGTCTCTTTGCCATGTCAGCAGTGACGGATAGGAGCAAGAAATATGCCTTCCTTCAAGGAGTTTGAAGTTTAATTGGGAGGGACACACACACTAACCATAAAATTCAGTTCCATCTGAGATAAGAACTACAGCAGAAATAGGAACATGATGCTCCCAGAGCACCCAGAGGGAGCACTCATCTGTTGGCATTGGAGGAAGTTTCAGAGAGAGACAGAGACAGAGAGAGAGACAGAGAGAGAAAGGGATACTTGAGCTAGGTCTGGATGAAAAGCAAATGGCGATTGGGCCACACATACTAAGGGGACCATCCAAACAATGTTGCAGGTGTTAAAATGCAGGCTCTGAAGAGAAGGTGGCAAAGGATTCCTTAAGCTGATGCCTAAGGTATGTATGGGGGGTGGAGCAAGATGTAGCTGAAGAAGGGAGGAAGGGAGGGAGGAAAGGATGGAGAGAAGGGGGGAAGGGAGGAACGGGAGGGAGAGAGGGAGGGAGGGAGGAAAGGAGGGAGAGAAGGGAGGAAGGGAGGAACGGGAGGGAGAGAGGGAGGGAGAGAGAGAGGGAGGGAGAGAGAGAGGGAGGGAGAGAGAGAGGGAGGGAGAGAGAGAGGGAGGGAGGGAGGAAGAGGAGAGAGGGAAGACGGGAGAAAGGACTGACTGTGGGTGAAGAATTCAGAGTCGGCCCAGCTGAGGGCAGGTCGAAAAGGTTAAACAGGGACGGACTAATGACGAGTTCATCATTCTGAGGAAATGCATGAACATACTTGATTAATCAGAAATGTCTCCAGTAAGCTGAGAGAGGAAAACTGACTTATCATTTTAAGGTGGACTAGCTAAGAAAAAAAAAAAAGGTCCCAATTTGAAACAAAGTCAGATCACTGGGCAGAAAGATTCCTGAAATGATCATTTTAAATAAACCCCTGGTCAAAAGCAAGATACATTCATTCGTTGTCTTGTTCTTTTATTCATTCATTCGTTAAAGCTAAGATTGGAGTCAGCCTGCCTGGGTTCAAGCCATGGATCCTTCAAGCTCTGTGACTTGATGCAAGCTCCTAAACCCCTCTGTACTTCAGTTACACATTTATAAAGTTGGAATATTAATATAGTATTAACCTGTAAGGTTGGTGTGGGAAGTAAATGACTTAGTGGATCGAAAGCTCTTATAACAGGGCCTGGTACGAATGCTCCATCGTGTGAGGCATTTTGCTCTGTGTGTCTCTGTATTCAGAGCTCTCTATATATCAGTCACATTTGAAATACTGGGAATAAAAAGACAAAGGTGATATGACCCTACCCTCAAGAAGCTCGTAGTCCAATGTGGAAGGTATGCGGGAGCAAACCAGGACAGTCCAACATGGCAAACGCTAGGATAGAGTGATGTGCCACACAGTTGGCACGGATGGTGAGGGTGGTGAGGGAGCCAGGCTGAGTCCGTCCTCTACAGATCCCAGCAAAGTTCCCCCGGTTCCATCTGGTCAATCCTCCCTTAAGTTCCTTGTTTTGTTTTGTTTGCATCCCTTAGTGTAGGAAGGATATTCCAATTTCTTCTAGATCTTTCCTTTAAAAGGAGTAATTGCCTCATTTCACAAGGAACTTTACTGTTTAAAATTCTAGCTCTCTTGAATGGGAAAATAGATAAAGGGGTATTTCTGAGATGTGAGGTGAGGGGTGTATTGGGAGTACGCCCCGCCTTGGCCAGTGGGAGTAGGAAGGAGACCCTGGGAGGGGAGAGCAGCTGGGAGAGAACCACTCCTGGGGAAGGACAGTCAGAGAATAGAGCCAGGTTTTAACTACACCGCGGAAGCATCTCAGGGCCTTGGTGAAGCCCTGGTAAAGACAAGGAGGAAAGGAGAGGTGGGGACAGGTGGCGGAAGGCTACCTTCTCTTTCTTCAAGGCTGTAAGGCAGGGAGTAGGGGGTTGGTGCACTGGAGAAAAGGTAGCTAATGTAACGGGGTTTCTGCCTCTCTACTTCTAGTGTAACTACCCGATGCCTCTGTTAGTCAATGACCCACGTTGGGAAAGGTGGTGACATATCATAAGCTTCATTTGTTTTTCTTTTTTGAAGTCCATTACTACGTTCAGGACACCCTGCCACTAAGGAAGTTGTGGAGGGAAAACCTGGAACCACTCTGAACCGCAACGGATTTTTGGAAGCTCTTGGCTCTTTCTGCTGCCAGCCGTGTTTATAAAATGCTGCTACTCACAGTAACAATGTACTGTTTTAAAGCATCTCATACGCGTCATTTCCTTTTGATAGTCACAACAGCCCTGTAAGGTAGGCCTTATGGAATGGGCCTTATTGTTATTTTTATGCAACACATGCTGATAAGTGAGGATAAACTCGTCCAAAGGTGAGGGGCAGAGACAGAGCTCTGGTCTGGGTGTCCTGGCCTCAGATGCAAGTTTGCATTTATCTCTCTGCAGGCCCCTGCAAGCAGTGAGCAAGACAGATGGCTTACCTCCTTTCCTTCTTCCACAGAAAGAAAACTTGGGCAGAGCCACCTCACAGATGGGATAGGAGAAATTCAACACAGATGAGCCTTGAGACATGAGAGCTAGGTCAAGAAATAGCTCTTTGATGTCCTCTCCTGGAGGAAAGAGAAGAACAGCTTTACTCTTACTGCATGTTTCACTGTGTATCAAAGACATTCACAGTATACAGCAGCATGAGCTAAAGAACCTTTTGTTTCCATTAATCTGCTCTGCGTGGGGAACAGTTTTCTTCTTTCCTTAGTAAAACAGCATTTAGGCAATGCTACAGGGGATTATGATGAGACCCGGGGTATGAAAGGTGGCTGTTTCTCAAAATACCTGCTTGGAGCAAGGTAGTTAATCGGCTGAGCTCCCCACCCTGGTGCTATGGCCTTTTCATGTGAAGTCTGCAGGTCTGGCTTCTGGAATTTCTCAGCTGCAGAGTATCATTTGTTCCCCATGATGGCGGTGGGGTGTGGTCACGCCTACATACACCTGCTGCTGTCACCAGGGAGGTATTGCAGCACAGGTACACAGGAAGCTTCGGTGGGTCCCATGGTCGTGGCTCCCAATTCTCTCTGCCTTTTTCTCCATTCCTCCCTTTTATGTTCCACCCACTCTTCCATTTCTCTTTTCTCTCTTCTTCTCTCCCCATAACATTTCTCAAGCTGCTGCTAGAGTCCAGATACTGGGTAAGATTCTAGAAATACAAAGTTGCGTGAGAGATCTTGATTTCTGTGAATGTTGCTTCCACTTTTCTGGAACGATTCCACATGCTAAGTTTATTAAACCTCTCTACTTTGATTTTGATATAACTGTTTTGGAAAAGGAGATAGTCTAGTAGCTATAGCAAATATATTGACTAACTATAATTGCATGATCATATGATGAAAATTAAACAATCAGAAAGTGCTCTAGCTTATTGATTGGGGTAGGGGAGAAAATATTACATCTCCTCCTTGCCTATGTCAAGGTTTAAGAATTTGTATTAACTATTTGGGATACAAAATAACACAAATGACAAACCGTACTGCTGGTAGTAGATTTATTTGTTGCTGAGATAACTAAAAAAGTTAGGAGATCCTGAGTAGACATTAATACTTAATCTCAAAATATTCCCCCTCCCTTTTTTTTGTTTTTTTTTGCTGCGTATACTGATTCCAGGTGCTTATATCGTCCAAATGAATGCCTAGAGTCTTTTTAATACAAAAGTACAGCTTTAAGTGAGAGTTCTACCCTACCTGGATATAACCTAGAGAGAGATTTGAAAATGAAGATGTAAACAGTGTTAATTCTAGAGAGTGGTGAGGGAACAGTAGTTTAGCCAGTCATTATAGTTAATGTAAGTCATTAGGGGTGTGGAGTTGGAAGAGGCTGTGCAATGTTTTATTTCATGCTAATCATTTTTTTTTACTTACTCAGAATTATTCCAAATCTAATGTTGATATTTGATTTTAATTGCTTGGAACACTTTTCAATAGAAAAGCCAAAATCTTGTAATGGATCTGCGAAGAAGAAAACAATAGATTACTTGTGAGTACATCGTATATTCTGCAAACATATTCAAAATTTGCACCAATATTGTTTTCACACGAATTACTGCATTTATTCAAAAGCATATTGCCCAACACTTTTTTAAAGAAGCCTGTGACATTTTCATCAGCTCCCCCCAGTGTCTTCAAAGCCAACGTCATGTTCACTCTGACAACAGGGCCTCCATCCATGGAATGAACAGTGTCTTGCTAGTTGGGTTATATCTTTACTTGTTAACGTTTTTATCATAGAAAAATTTTATCATTGCCCGAATTCTTCTAGTTCCTGAACATTTGGCTTTAAAATTGCTCATGGATTGCATAGAGCCTTTAATAAAGTATCTATTATTATTATCAAAACAGAGGGAGGTACAAAAGTTAGGAGAGCTTGAGTAGACATTAATACTTAGGCTTAAAATATTTTCTTAAAAGATTTTCAAAGTTAAGACCTGCCTTTGTAATTCCATTTTATCTCATCCCATCCCATCCCATCCCATCCCATCTCATCTCATCCCATTTAATGTAATACTTCCCCCCCAAAATGTTCCACTATGTACAGGTATTGTGCTAGATATGATGAAGCTATAAAGATAATATTTTCTGCATATAACTTCTGCTCATTCACAAAGCTCCAATGGTTTATCTATGCCTCAGAATAAAGTCCAGAAATGAGTGACTGGCTCCAACTTCCATCCGCCACATCATAAATCCATCCTCCATTCCTTGAGACCAACACACCAGCACATTCCCACCATGTTTGATTTGCTTGCGTGCTTTCTCCCATTTGCAATGGTCTTAGTCTTTTTGGCTATTATCTAAATCCTCAAGTCTTGCTCATTCCCATCTTCTTTGTGAAGGCTTCCCTGACCCCAAATATTCTCTTGTTTCCTTGAATTCTTAAAATGGTGATGTCTGGCACTCTCCATAAGTGTGCAAACATATATCACTCTGTACTTTGCTACATGGCTTATCCTGCAACACTGAATCTAAACATGAGATTCATTAAAGGCCAGAGCTAGTTTCTTGTTTTGTTTTGTTTGTTTTGTTTTCCATTTCCTTTTCCTTTATGTTTCCCACTGGGCTGGAGACAGGAGAGCTATTTTTAACAGAGGATTTACCTTGTACTAATAGCCGAGCCTTGGACTTTATGAGTGTTTTCCATTTAATTCTCTAGGTTCCCCAGCACCTAGCAGAGAGTCTCACAGCCTCACAGTCTGACACACAGTAAGCACTCCATAAATGTACACATTGAGTGAATGGATGGGCCGTATATTGGAGCTGTTTCTCAGCTCCAAATCCAGCCCTCTTTCCTCTGACTTTTAACTGGGCTCTCGGTAATCATGTTTCTCCTTCGCTGTCTGCCAGTCAAGATAGCAGGGAGATGGATGCTGGAGTTGAAGAAGGGACTTACTCCTTCTTGAGTACTTTCTGGGAGTGTCACTGGTGATGGACCAACACCTTGGCAGTGGAAGTTGGTTCCAGTTGGCTCTCTTTTGCACCTTCCCAGCATCAGCTGACACTCAGCTCTGTGGGGCCCTAAGCTACTGCAATAACAGCACATCAGAAGCTGTCACCCCTTCCTTAGCAGTCTGTCTCAGCTCCATAGGGTCCTTCTGTCAAGCATCCAGTTTCTAATCCCACAACCTCTGCCTTTTGCTCTCCCAGCCCTCAGCGGTTCTTTCTTTGCTCTTTTGGTTCTCCAGCAACTGGTTCTCTAACCAACTTCCTATGTCAAATTCTCTCTGTTAAAATAACTGATATGGTCTTCGTTTTCCTGACAGGACCCAGACTTGCAGAATAAATAATAATCTGAAGAGATAGGTATGAGTTACCTCATTTTACTGTTATGAAAATATAGACTGGGAGATATTGTATTAGCTTATCCAGATCCCCACACTAGAAAGTGTCAGAGTCAAGATTCAAAGCCAGAGTTAAAAACAAACAAACAAACAAATTGCTCCCTGGTATTATGCAGTGAAACTCACAAAGTAGAACCTCAACTACATATGTTACTTATTTGATTTGTAAGATTGCCCAGAATATTTTGTGTGCAGGCATATGGCATCTGGTAGTTCTGTTTCATAACTGATTTCCATTTCAGCTTAGCTATGAGCTCACATTTGCCAATGATAGTGTTCCAGACAGTTTTATCATCCACATTGCTGACCTGGAAGATGCATCATTGTCTATGGTATCTGCAATGGAAATGATCACTAGGCAATTTCAGCCTTGCAAATCTAACGTAAGTACACTTTTGTTTGATCAAAACCCCTTTGGTCCAGTCACTAATTTTCCTAAGGGTGGGAAAGAGCCCTCTTGTCTTATGCTCACTGGACTCCTTCCTAAGTATCTCTGTGCTGTCCCAGGGTTTCTTTCAGCCTGGAAAATAGGAGCAGGGGGTTGGAGACGATAGTTCCTGCTACATCCTTGGCACTCAGTATTGAAAAAGATAGAAGCCAATGAACAGATGCTTAGGAAGGTGCATCCTCAAAATTGTGGATAAATTTAAGTTGCTATCCAGGCAAAATAAAAGAGGCTAAGTATGTATTGTGTTGTCGATTAGCAGCTATATAATTGCACTGTATGTTCATCAATATTTTAAAGGTATAGATAGGAAGAATCAACTAAGGGTGGGAGAAGGAAATAAAGCATTTTCCTGATACTAGAAACACATTGTTGTTAGGAAAATAATCTCAATAAAGAACAAAGTCACAAAGAAAGCTGTAGGCTGCATCTCTCTGAGGATATGTATGTAAAAGTAGAAAGACAGATTGCTTAAAAAGCGCTTAAGGGTTTGGTGAGCTTTCCTAGCAGCTATTTCAAATTTATATGCAAGACTGATATCTTTGAGTGTAAACATGCAGTTTGTGGTCCTCTTGGGGAAAGTGACATTGGTTCCTCCTCCTCCCCCAATCCCACCCTCTCAAACTCATCTCCTTCTCTGTATTTATTTGCATTTCCACTCAGGCACTTTGTATGTTCTACACTACATTATATTTGCTTGTATGCCTTTGTCATTCCTCCACTAGATAATGCAAAGCTGACTCCCCAGTGCCAGGGCTATACATAATCTCTTAAGATTATACTAGATCTCCAGTGATTTTCTGCTGGATGAATAGTAATGGTTATTTGTAGTAAATTTGCTGAGAGCCTTAAAGCAGGATTCCTCAATGTTGTCACTATTGACACTTTGTTTTGGATATCCCTTGTGGTGGGTGCTGTTCTGCGCATTGCAGGATGTCTAGGAGCATCCCTGGTCTCTACCCACCAGATGCCAGTAGCACCCCCATACCCTCTGGTTGTGACAACCAAAAATATCTCTAGACATTACCAAAGTATCCATGAGGGACAAACTCACCCCTGGTGGCGATCACTGCTTTAAATAATCACTTTATCAATTTCCAGGCTTTACTTATACTGCAAATGCCTCAGAATCACCTACCAAAATAAAAGATGGTAGGTTGCATTTTAAAGCAGTTCTCCTTCTACAGTATGAACCGTGATGGGCAGGCTGAGAGTGGAGAGACTTTCCCTTGGACCCTTGCTTCAGTAACTTTTAATCATATAAGATGGATCATCTGACTTTGGACTTTCTGAAACAATAACATCGGAAAGTTAATCAGAGTTGGTGTTCCGAGAATTTGAGGAAAGAGATAAGTGTTTCCTCCGGATACTTCACTGTATTTCAGCAAATGAGCTCAGGAAAGAAGTCAAAGCTTCATCATGAAATAGAAGACTTCATTTTCAATATTTCTTCCTTGGCCTCTATGTGGCACTCCCTTGCTCTCTGTTCTGTTGAATTCTATGGCCTCAGCCCAATGGAGGACGGCATTATAGTGGGTGAACCCAGCAAACCGCAAACTGCCCCTGCTCCCCTCTCCCCTGGGCAGGTGTGCCCTCGAAGGCAGTCTTCTCCAAACCAGCAGCATGCAAACCCTGCCAGAGGCGAGGAAGAGCTCCAGGAGAACAGCCAGCAGCATCTGTTTTGCATACTAAGGGCAGCAACAATCAAATCTCTCCTAGAAAGGTTTTCTTGGACATTCATGGAGTAAAATAGAGTTGGATGAACAAGCTGGGTTTAGAGTGAGCAGCATTTGAACAGATCTCAGCTCCAAAGGTATTTTTGTGCCTTCCACCCTCCATTAGTGGCGTAGGCTGGGCTAGACCTGGGCAGCTGTCGACGGGAGGACAACCTTGTCAGGATGGCTTCCATTAACAGCTAGCAGTAGGCTTTCAAATGGAATCAGTAGGAAGAAGACAAAATCCAATGACACAGACTCTGGGAGTGAAATTCCTCAGCAGAGGATGGTGGGGGCCTGGGTACACTCCGCTGGACCAATCCTCGATTTGACTTCAGGCAGCCGGAAAGCTTGGATGTATGTCTCTAAGTCCTGGAGTCCATGGATGGAGCTCCGCCCCCTGTGGCCTCTGCGTTGCTGGCTGGGTAGTTTCAGGCATAGAGGAGGGCCCAACTCTTACGCAGCTAGTTCCATTTTCTATATTCTAGCTCTACTTGAGGTTTTTCTTTAGCTTTATATTTTGAAATAATTATATTTTCACAGGAAGTTGCAAAAAGATACAGAGAGGTCTCATATATCTTTCTCCATCTTCCCCCATGGTAAGATCTTACATGGAGGGCAATACCCAAACTGGGACATTGACACTGGTACAATCCACAAAGTTTATTCAGATGTCAACAGTTTAGCAATCATCTGTGTGTGTGTGTACAAGTGTGTGTGCCTATTTTTTACAGTTCTATTGCTTGGGTTTAAAATGGTTAGAAATTGGTCTTCCTCCTCTCAGGGGAGAGTAGAATTCTTACAGCAGAGTCACTGTGGAAAGGAGCTGACTCCCCTCCAGCCTCACTTGCACCAGCCTTCCACATACTCACGGCCAAGTGCAACCCCAAGATTGCAATGTCCTTCCTGCTTTGTAAAGGTAGTCGTTCTCCCCCTCCCTTTATCCTATGCTCTTCTCTTCTCTCTTCCTGTCCCTCATTCTCTCTCTCTCTCTCCCTCTTTCTCTTTTTCTTCTTATATCAGTACCTCGATCTGGCTACCATCCTGAGATTAAGAACACTGACTTTTCTTCGAACACATCTTAACCTTCATGGCTCATTCCCTGTGGCCCACATTACTCTAAGAGCTGGTATTGCTTCCTGCATGTGCTATTGGCAGAACACAGGCTGGCCCCAGGAGAATGTTAAGTATTACAAGCATGCTTCCGATAGAGGCACGACCTGGGGAGGGAGAAAGGGCATAGAGGGCCCAGGAGACCTTACCAGTCACACACAGCTTAGCTGCACTGGCAGGACTGCCTCTCACAAATAGTTTATGGAAGGAAGGAAAAATTGGGTTAACAGAATGTGAGTAAAGCTGGTCTGCTTCTGAATGCTCAATAAAATAGCACTGGATGGTTGTTTAATAATGGGGGGTGTGTTAGGGTTCTCTAGAAAAACAGAACCACTTGGCACTGGAGACTGAGTGTCTGAGTGTGGTTGAACTGCTAGTTCCGGGTCAAATGGTAGCAGATATTCCTCTGCATCTTTCAGAATTCTTTCCCAAATGTAACAAAATAACAAACAGACCTTGCTTTTGATTTCTTTTTTTTTAGGTTGGCTGATGGCCAGTTCTGCCAGCTTGTGTTCTGTTTATCATACAGATCTAGCTGGGCACAGATCTGGAAATCTGTCTTCTTTCAAGGCTGTACTTTTACTAGAGTGTCTTAATTTTCTTGGCGAATTCATAGGATGACATTCAAGGGTCACTGTAGACCTTTACAGGAGGATGATGCATAAGGCTTCAGTAAAATCGCATTGCTGGAAATCCATTAGCAGCACAACGCAAAATTAACTTTCTTCTTTTCTGTCCTTAATGCCACTGTGTTCCCTCCGCCTCCTCCCCTCGTACTCCCTCCCACCTTTGTGGAAAAAGAAATAACTTACAATGTGGTAAGTGCATTCTAGCTGTGTTTTTCTATTGTGTCCTGATCTCTTCTTTTTTTCTACCTGTCAAATCTTATTACTGTAGCACAGCAAGGCTCCCTAGTGGGTCATTATTTCAAATAATAGTAGTTCCACTCCCATTTGACTCTCTTTGGCCAGCATTTCCTCGGGAATTGACTCACACATTCAAGTCAACTGGCTTCTTGTTTCTTCATCTCAGATATGTAAACAGTGTGTTCAAAATACTTAAACATGTTTCTTGCTTTCAAATGCAACAAAAATAAAATTAACATGATCACAATGGAATATCGACTATTTGTGATATAAGATGGTAAAAACTGCAACATCCTGCCAGCTGCCTGGCAACCTTGGTGAATGTGTTTTTGAGTGAGATTGTATGTTTGGGCTGCTAAACTCAAAATTCTGGATCCCTAGCTTGTCTGCTTTTAATTGCGCAAAAAAAAAAAAAAAATTGAATTCATAATAAGCCTTTTTATTGACAGAAAAGGAGTAGGAATCTTGCATGGCCCCTCTGGCCTCTAAGTTCCACTTTCCCAGAATAACCTAAGTTTGGCTTCCATCAGCATAGGAGGAGATGGCTTTTCTATCATGATGTAAATATGACAGACCATAAGAGATGAGTGGCAATAAAGACAGTCTTCTGCCCAAAATATCTTGCCAAATGTCTTGATGAAAATAATGACCTAATTGAGGCAGTTTTGTCTGATCTTTGCATCTTAGGAGTAGATCAACAATGTACTGGCTGGGCCTGGTGGCTCACACCTGTAATCCCAGCACTTTGGGAGGCCGAGGCAGGTGGATCACCTGAGGTGAGGAGTTCAAGACCAGCCTGGCCAACATGGTGAAACTCCATCCCTATTAAAAATACAAAAATTAGTCAGGTGTGGTGGCACGTGTCTGTAGCCCCAGCTATTCAGAAGGCTAAGGCAGGAGAATCGCTTGAACCCAGGATGCGGAGATTGCAGTGGGCCGAGATCACACCACTGCACTCCAACCTGAGTGACAGAGTGAGACTCCATCTCAAAAAAACAAACAAAAAAACAAAAAACAAAAACCAAATGCACTAAGTGCAAAATTTTATTGTGTGTTACCAAGAGGGTGCCATGGTGCCACATAGCATGAGATCCTAACACGAAGGTGAGAGGAAACTGGAACCTGTCTTATGGGTGAGAGACAGTGCACCTTAGTGGCTGGAAGATGCAATAGGAAGAGCAACTTGGCTCATCATTCATTACCCTGTAATAGGAAGGGGGTTAGGTCTTGGGGATAGAAAGACAAATCAGAACTGCTTCTGGTATCATCATATTTATAATATTTCCATCATCTGATTATGATAGCACACTACTGAATAATAAACTCAACAAAAGATGCATGTATACTCTATACTCTAAATCTCTCATTTATAGTCAACACAACACATTATAGTCTCATTATAGTCAACATTTTATAGTCTTCTGTAGGCAAGGCATGTTTCCCATGGATTCACTTTATACTATCTTGCCTGGCCTCTCTTCATTTTAAACACCATCTTAATAACAGTGTCACTATTCTTTCTTACAATATGTTTATTAACTGTCTAATATGTGCTGGACACTGTGCTAGCTGTGGTGGAACCGAGGTGGAAAGGGAGCATTTTGACCAGGCCAGTTCACCCAAAGCCCTACTATTGGTTAAGTAGTGACCAGATTACTAGAGGTCCCTCAAATCTAGAAGCATTGGGGGAACTTGCCTCTACGGCTTGGTGTTGGTAATCGTTTAACTTTCTGTTACTAATTTGGAGGCAGTCCATGTGGGATAGAAAAGTGGATAAATGCTAGTCTGTTCTCTTTTTACAATGGAAGATTAGACTTTAGCACATGCTTCTCCACTGCCAGTGTGGATTTCACCAGCAGGCAGACTCCTTCTAAGGGAGAGCCTGGCTTAGAGACAGCGGGAACCATGGCATTGGTGACACCCACACAACCAGGATACACCTGTTGTATTTAATGTCTGCAGTTCTTACAAATTTGTCTGTCTCTTGACAGTCTTGACAGGGGACATAAACAAGGCCAGTTGCATAGGGTGGTTTACTTGACTGTACAGCTACAAAGATGATCTCTGGGACTTTTCTTGACATGCTGCAAATGCTGAAAAGGAATTCCCTTCTGCTTCTAGAAGTCATGAACTAGATATGATTTAAAAGAAAAAGCTAAGGTGTTTGTTGTCCTTGGCATCTGATGTTGTGGAATATGATGGTTGGGTGAGCAGGAACTGACAAACTGTCTGGGAGGTAATAGCTGAGGCCAGCCTAGTCTTTGCTCATTGATGGTGCTGGATTTGAACCAAACATACCAGGAGGTCCTCAAACATTATTTGAATTGTTCTCATTGAGAGTGACCAGGGCATGGGGTGCTAGTTAACAACCCTGTTTGCTAAGGAAGAGACTGAGATTTCAGGCAAGGAAGTGACTTCCTCTCATCTCCAGACTCAGCCTCCAGGGCCCTGATCACTGCACCCTGGTTCCTGTGCGGGTCTCACCCTGGAGCAGGTGAGCGAGGCAGACAAACGACAGAAGCAGAGCTTTAGATGGAGGCGAAATGAGTCCAGACATGTGTGCCGGGACCTGGTCCTCCTAGGATTCAAGTTGCTTACAGAGAGGGACAAGACCCAACAAGCTTCCCAATTTTGATAAAATTCTTCACTGTGATTGTGCAGGTCACTGTCAGTCAGCGAAGGTGCTGCTTTTCTCAACCCAAAGGAAACTGGGATAGAGGAAAATGCATTGGAAGTTTTTTTTATTAGGAATTAAGAAAAATAATGCATGGAAAGCATCTTGGCCAGTGTTAGGCATATAATAGACAGTTAATAATTGGGCAAAAGGAGGATAGAGTCTATTCGAAAGAAGATATTATAATACTGACTATTCTCATTACAGTTGCAGAAAATGAAACCAACTTATTTTTTTTTAACATTTTTCTTTTTAATGTAAGAACACCCTAGGTTTAAAATAATTTAGTTAAGTTCATACATCTTGTTTGTATTATTATTTTTTCTTTTGAAATAGGGTCTGGTTCTGCTGTCCAGGCTGGTATCAAACTCCTGGATTCAAGTGATCCTCCTACCTCAGCCTCCCAAACTGCTAGGACTACAGATGTGATCCACTGTGCCCAGCATTTTTTTTTTTTTTTTTTTTTTTTGAGACAGAATCTCACTGTCACCCAGGCTGGAGTGCAATGGCACAATCTTGGCTCACTGCAACCTCCCAGACTCAAGGGATTCTCATGCCTCAGCCTCCCCAGTAGCTGGGATTACAGGTGTGTGCCACCACAGTGGGCTAATTTTTGTATTTTTAGTGGAGATGGGGTTTCACCATGTTGGCCAGACTGGTCTTGAACCCCTGACCTCAAGTGATCCACCCGTTTCGGCCTCCCAAAGTGCTGGGATTACAGGTGTGAGCCACTACACCTGGCCTTCAGCCCAGCTTTAAGTTAAATAGATATTTCTGAGATGAAACCTAGACGCCAGCTGGGGCATCCCAGCCCTTGAGATTAAACAGGATTGGTGGAACATAATCTCATGGCTGGGATGCTCTTCGCTGATGGTTCTCAATGTGGCTGCACGTTGAAATCACTAGGAGAGTGCTGTGAAAATACCCACGCCCGAGTTCCACCCCAGACAGTCTGATTTAATAAGTCTTGGTGTTGCCTGGTTTTTAAATGCTACCCCAGGTGATTCTATTGCCCTGCCTAGTTTGAAACCCACTGTTAAAAGCCACACCAAGTTTTTTTGCTCATTTCCTGGTATATGATCTTAAACGTGAGACCCTACGTCTACCGTGTATCACTCAGGCTCAAAGTTTAACCCCTTCACAGATGTCCTAAGAAATCTCCTTACAAACCATTTCATAAGGTGTACAGAATTTATGAAGTGTTAGGAGGCAGCCCCCTCCGCTTAGCCCCTTATGACCTGGTGAGATGCTCCCTGCCTCTGCGTCTTTTTTCACGTCTCTGGCTCCTGTCTCTACAGGACACCATGTTTGCCCCTGGCTCAGTCCTGAGGAGTTGGAACCTTGGCAGTTACCCAAGCTCCTCTCAAGAATTCTTTCAAGAAAGGCACGGCTCTGCTTAGGTAGGATTCCTGCAACAGCCCCTAAAAGCATATTTTTTCTGTTTCATTTCCTGAGCATTGACTCTCTGCCAAACACGATCTTAGGCATGAAAAGATTTGAGATGAGAGTTCAGGGACAAAGAGAACAAAGCTGAAGAGATGAGCAAGGAGAGCTAGCGGAGGATGGGGAGCATGAGACAGGACACGCCTGCAAAAAACTCCCAATGTGGAGAAGAACGTGGAAGAACAGCAGAGCTTGGCAGATGTGAGTGGGCGGCGTGGGGCTGGGAGAGCCAAGACCAGAGAGCCCGGGATGCGCAGGAGTCCTGGGCTGCCTGCAGGCTCGCGGGAGCTCTGTGCTGGGCGGAGAGAATGACTTGAAGATGGGAATGCAAGCACGCACTCAAATTAAAAAAAAAAAAAAAAAAAAAAGAGTTGTGATTATAAATAAAAGGCATTTGGCGTCAATGAAGGAACTACTTAAGAGATCAGCAGCATCTTTTACAGCCGAATAAGCTTTACCTCCCTTTATGGTCTGGGTTTGTAAGGCAGTCAAGGTTCACACTCTCAGGAATTTTGGGTGTGGTTCTTCCATGACTGTGACTTGGGCGGACTGTGTTGTGTTGTGTGTGTTTCGTGACTCTCCATAAGCCGCCATGACTTTTGGAGATGGAAAGTCAACTCATCCATTTTCTTTGTTTTCCTAAACACTGATTTTCTTCTGGACAGGCTGCCTGTGTTCCTGAACACCAATACAGGCTATAAAGAACAATTTATTCTTTTAGGGGAGAGAAGTAGAGGGTTCTAAGGAATAAACTCTGTGAAAAATATCTCCATAAGAATTTGATAATGCGCTAAAAAATCCCTTCACTATTCCTGAATTCCCCGCTCTAGCGTCACCTTGCTTGGTTCATCGCACTGCACCGTGCGGGCTGGTTAAGTGTTCGAGGAGTGAATGAAGGAAGGCGGATAAACCATCAGGCAGGAAAAGTGAAGGGGCCGTGTCACCCTAGCAGTCGTTGAACTGATTTTGGACACAATCAGCTTGCTCTTGGATCTCCTCAAATGTTTTGCTAACACATTGGCCTTTTAATAAATCTTAACTTCAATTTGCCCTCTCCTAATACAAGAGGCGATAAAGATTATTTTCATCTTCATAGTGTTCAGTACTCAGAGTTAGAAGGGTAAATATCCCTCCA